GCACTGTTGATACAGGCTTGCGAACATCTCAACAGAGACAATGGCGAAGAATTGTCATCAGTCTAGAAGAACTCCATAAAGGAGTTAGCAACAGTGGCCAAAGCTGATTTATAAATAAACGTACTATCTTGAACTGTTGTACGTATTAGCAATTTGTCGATCGTACCTGTACGATAACTGTAAAGTATACAACGACCTTGGGAACGTTATTTACTTGTACTTGTTGATTGTCATATAGTACTTTGTATTGTCCCCGGAAGATGGGTCCGAAACGTTTGGGTGTTGTGTAATAAAATTCATGCCGTGTAAACCCGTTGTAAGATCAAGAACATTTTGCCCGCGTAGAGAATTCAAGTTTTTTAACCGCTGTCTTATAGTAGAGTTGTTGAAAAGCTACGGTTGCGCTGGGCATCACAACCCAAAGAAGTTCTGCTTACTAAAATCGCTCAAGGTGATGATTTCAATTACGATGACGACTATTTACTTATGAGCCCCGAAATGCTGCTTATAAACTGAACAGAACCGAGAACGAAACAGTAGCAACAGCTTTTGGGTTAATAGAAGTCAGTGTACCATTTGAGGGAGTTGTCTGTTGAAGATCATTGGCCACAAGCCCGAGTAAGTGTACAAGGTACCACGGTGGGTACGAATCTTCTAAGATCCTTTCATGTCTGAGGGATTTAATATTTACATGATGTCATCGCATTGTTGTTTATGATACATTTTCGTTGACAGCGTGCCGTATAAACAGTAATACCCGGATCGTTGCTATCCAACTGACAGATTTTGTCGTTTTAAATGGCAGTATTTATGAACAAATTCTTTAATAGCAGCAGAATCTTTTATGCGGGAGTTGAATTCAGAATTGTTGTAATCCTGCACTAATTAGTCACGTCATAAAGTCGTTGTGAGGGATCGTAAAATACAGTGTTGCATACCGACGAGAGTATGAAAAAGGAAAAAATCCGTTAATATTCTAAAACCGCTAGTTTGACAGACGCTCCTTATTTTGCCCTCAGAGGACTATCCATTCATTCATAACATGGTATTCGATACAGTTTGCGAGTTATGTAGATGGTCGCATGACTCGGTCTATCTACTCTAAGTAATGTTTTATTTTACTAACGTAAAATTCGATGTGTTATCGATAGAAGATCATGCAACTAGATTTCATCATAACTTCATGTAGAACACCTGTATTTTGTTGGACTTTGGCAGAGGGTTAGGGCGAAAGTTTTTTCATAGTTTACTCACAAACCTTCCGATAAGCTGTATAATTTAGGCCAAGCAACTTGAACGTAGCAGCGAAATAAATTTTTGAAGGCGAGACTTTATAAATGCTTTTTTGGCACAGTAGAACCTCAATTTTGTATTTCAACCATAGTCAGACTTAAAATACAAAACATTTTTCTGGTTTGCTGCCAAGCGCAAAACGTCAGTCACCACTATTTTACGGACTTAGATGTGGTCTTCAAAGCAAGCAGATTTGCGGTTGATGGAATCGTTTAAAAGTTTTAATATGGCCATTCGCTTGTTCTCGATTTTGATCTGCCGAAAAACATACTAAACGTTTTTCTGACTCCAAGGGTCTTCCAGTTCGAACTATTTATAAAATCGCCTTTCTCAGTAGCCTTTCATATTTTAAGTTTCTCGATTTGTAACTTCACCGCTGGTGTTTGTACATAACAGTGAACATGAGATTCTTCGCTATATAACTTCTCAGTGCTTCTGTCTTCGATTGGTCCCTAAGACTCAGTTACTGCCTGCTGATAGGCGTATGAAGGTAGTTGGACTGAACGAAATTCCTGGTCAGAGCGAATAGTTGGATATAATCTGCATATTGACTGCTCTGAAGCGGATGTCTGTCATAGAGATGCTCTTTGCGTTTACAGCGACAATGGCAGCGTTTCTTTGAACGCATGTCAATTTTCAGGATGGAAAACAATGAGAGCAACTTGAACCGTTTCGACGAGTTGGAACAGTCGCTAGAGGTGTTCATTGAAAACGCCAGACATTTGTGCGTAATCGCTGCAGACTTTCAACCGTCCACCGGTCAAAATGTGCTGAACCAGAAACTACAGGCACTGGTAAATGCATTGCAGGAATTAGACCAAAGCAAGGGCAAATTCCAGGACGTGAAGGTGCCGATCGAGTTGATCGACTACGTAGAAAGTGGCAAGAATCCGCAGCTGTATGCCAAGGACTGTATCGAACGCACGCTGCAACGTAACAAAGAGGTGAACGGCAAAATCGAGCTGTATAAGAAGTTTCGAGCGTCGCTGCTGAAAGAGATGACGGAAGAGTTTCCGAAAGAAACGATGCAATACCGTGCGATACGTGAGTACGGCGACTCGTCAACCAGCAGAAGTTACGGAGACAAGTGAAAAGAAAATTATAATTTTACTGATCACATTACATCGTATGGTACATGTTAGATTTTAAACTTCAGCGGATGTCTTCTGAAGTAATAATTTTATTCCTGGATTTTCCTTCTGCTTGCTGAAATTAAATGTTTGAAGAAGCTGTCGGATCGTTTCTTGCACTGCTGGCACTTCCGTTTCAAACATACTAAACAAATAAATATATAATCTTCTGATCAACGCTCATCACTGGAGGTCACTTACTGTACTAATAAGAATGCACCTCGATTGCACGACAAAAATACTTTCAGATTTTCAGGAGTGAGCTGACTGACGAGATATTCAGAAAAGGTTTCTAAAAACGGCCAATGAAATCGTCAAGCCTTGTACTTAACACGGTGATTGATCAATACTTACTTTCGCCCAACGTGTGAAGGTCTTTGTCGTGCTTCATTATTCTTCCAAGCATAAAACTGATATACGGTGTTTCAATGGAAGTTTTTCCCGGGACACTATGACACAAACTGTCTGCTACCACAGCTGACAGCACTTCATATAAAGTAGCTTTAGAACCTAGAACATACATAAATATTGCAGTTTATAAGAAAAACGCTGAAGGCTATAGAACAAAACACTGAGTAAATTATACAAATTTACGATTAATGGACGTCTTAGATAAGAGACGTTGAGGAGATATCGACTCCAAAACCAATGGCATTCGTCTTTTGCTATCAAATCACAACTGCCTTATGGAAATTCGTAGCATAGAACGTTGTCTCCACCTGCTATCGGTATCACTGGTGAACGAACTGTTGATTTATACTTCACCACCCCACCGTTCATAAGTTGATTACATTCACAAAGGACATGGCTCACCTTTAAACCATACCTTCCGCATTAGCCCTACAGTGTAACTAGTTTCAGGAATGTATCCACATAGAATCACGCGCAATGCGAAGTTGGCGGAAAAAGATATTTTGGAAGCATTTATGGCTGAACAAAGAAACACGCTTCCTGTTCCGTTTGACTCAAGCTGCTGAGCCGTAGGAGAACACTGCTCAATCCGAGAGTTACTTGTTTCACATTAAATTTAGTGTCAATTTTACTGATTCATATGCATGCCCCTCTATAACGCTGGGGTCTCTTCAAACTAAGTTACGAACCCGAAACCAATTAAGAATGGCTGCAGGGTGTGGATGGACGCATGTAGGTGTAAGAGCAACTACGCCAGTTTTGGATTACAGCATAGGTCGCTCGCCGCCTTACGCAAAATCGCTGCAGATCTGAGGCGAGATAAACAATCATGCTTTCGCTGATTCTGTACTAATAATGCATATTTTAAATTCAACAATCAGTTTATAATTAAAGCTTAAATCACCCTGAAACTTTCCCTGCAGATACAACCGATTGAACAAAACATTTTAGCCAAAAGATTATGTGAAATGCATGTAAAACTGCAGAACTGAAATGTGCAGATGTGTCTTGCCAAAATGTCCCCTT